AAAAAGTGTGACCCGTTATCTTGCACTCATTCCCTCATCCACTGTATTGCTTGCCCAATATGCCAGAGTGGCCTTGACATGCGCCATGCTTGAATGGCTGTGAACGTGAGCCTGCTTTCCTGCTGGCATGTCAGCAATGTGCCATGTGCCGTCAATGTTTCCCGGAAGCCATCATGGACAGTACKTGTCTCTTCTCCKTGAACTATCCCCAATGCCATCACCCGCCACATCCTCTCCATTCATGTCCCACATGCAACATAGGGCACCCTCCGCCTGCACCGGGAATCAGAACCCCTCCACCCTTGACGAATGAGGAACAAGCGTAGGCTCGGACATTCCCCGTCCTACGAAATCCCAGTGCTTCTTCCAATGCCCCAGCTCGCCAGCCTGCAGGTGTGCTCTCACGGGACAACTGACAAGGATGGTGCATATTTGTAACAACACTACCTACTTTATTGGCTGCAGCGACTTCCTTGAGGAGAAGTATGCTCGTTAGGGGTCATCGCCCAGTGTCCTGGCCAGAGGTTGGTCTGTGGCCCGCAGCGTCGTCCCTGTCGGCTACCCACTTGGGTCACCCAGCTTGGGAACCGGTTTCGCCACATGGTGAGCTGGTCAATTGCTCACCCACTGCCGACTGCCAATTCTGAGTGAAGGCAGCATCAGCCCTCCACAGAGCCACACACACTGCGCCCCAATGCACTTGCGAACGCAGATTCTGAGTACAGGCAGCATCAACCCTCCACACAGCCACACGAAGTGAGCCCGCCCTCCCCTGTCGTTACTACCGAAATGTCAGATGCCAATGTGGGTACTGCAACCCGGCCAGGAACCTGGCCAGTCGTAACAGCCATCATAATTGTTGTCTAAGAGGCTGCAGGGGAAGACATCCTGCATCCTGCAAACACTGCTGCTGCTGAAAGTGTGCCATTACCACCACCACCACCTTCTACTACATTGATCTCCTCAATCAAATGCCTCCTCTTCTTCCTCTTCTTCCTCTTCTTCTTCTTCTTCTTCGTCATTGTGTTCCTCCTCCTCACATTCCTCCCCCTCATCATCGTCATCACCATCAACACATTCATGCTGAGATCCATTGTCGCAGAGGCCTCTCTCTCTCTCTCTCTCTCTCTCTCTCTCTC